GACAGTAGCTGCTTAAATAGTATTTACTCTTACAGCCAAAATATCGTGTTACTTTCAATAATGTTACCAACCCAGTGGGCCACGGTCCGTTTATAGGCCACTGCAAATAATTTGTAAAGATAGGTACCATTTTTAGGCAAGGTTTTTGTGTTTGGGTGTTATTAGACACGATACGAGCACATTGAACTTCTTCTGCAGATGAATAACTGTTGAAGAAATATAAGCCGATTCATAAATGTCACAATGCGAATTTGAGCATTTTGTTAGGATATATTTGTTAGGATCCCTTTAATGTTAGGATATATGAGGAAGTTACATAGTATTTTTTATGCTGCTGCTCAGTGCACTTTAAGAATATATTTTTTAGAGATAAATTTTTGCTATTGTTTTTGTTGCTGAGTAGCGCTGGTAAACATGCACAACCCTTTTTTGTTGGCCTAATAACATTCAAAGGCTCTCTAACAGTTCAAGAAAATAACATTGCAAATACTTCATTTGGACAATTAATTCAGTAACTCTCAATAAATGTGTGTTGTTTAAAATACAATTTAAAAATTAACAGCTGTTTCATTAAAAATTATTATCCAAATGGCCAAAATGTAAACAAATCTGTGGAGTTATCTTTTAAAGGCTTCTGGGGCAGAGCCCTAAGAGAATTTAGTTCGTTTTTCTTATGATAACTCATCTACAGACCAAGACCTTTCTTTGGACACCACTACCAAGTTTCTACGCCCAGTCGTTCTCTTAAATTAGTGGAGACAAAGTTTCCAATTAAATATTTAGATTCCCCCATGTTAATCTTATGGGAGAAAACCCAACTTTGATGGAAGATCCAGCTCGAACTAATAAAGATTTCAAAAAAATAAAAACACTTTGCAAAACTACAGATCAGGGCCATTCTTTTGACACTTTAATTATCAAAATCGGTCCAAAAATGAGGGAGGAGTTCTGTTTACAAAAATCGGCTTAGCGTATTATATATATAGACTATATTTTAACTAGTTTAATATTGAGATACTTATACAAAGAACAAGGAGAAGTTAATTACCAGCCAAGACTATGAAACATTAAACACCTGAAAGGAAGTTAGAGTAAACTTTGACAATACAAAACACACAATGGCAAGAGTACTCTGGCTAATAAGTCTATTTAATTATTGGCATGATACAAATGATACGGTAGAATCAACTTGGTTTACAAGCAGAACTTCCTGTAGACGAGTATGGTGGGTGTTAGCACATCAACACACACAACAAAGTACAAGCTGGTATACCCGTGCTTTGCAACGGGAAGAAAATGTGACCTAGAGAGCTATTAAAGCAATTCTGATGTGTGTTTTAAAATACAGCAACACTATGATTTAGTTTGAAAATGACTTGTTTTACCAGAGTTCTTCAATTTTAGTCAAGCCTCTTCACATGTAGCTTACTATATAAATTAAAATATGAAACTGAGCAATACTTTACAAAACGTATACAACCTCACTTTAAAACCAAACATAACCCTCCTCAATCTACATAAAGCATCACAAACATCTTTTTCGTGTAAATAAACAAACACCAGTTCATTGTACTGACCAGCTGTTTCATTTAATAAATTAAATTAAATAATTTAAACATTGGAAGCATGCCAGGCGTAGCCCTATGGAAATCAGCCTGTGGGGCAGAGCCCTAAAGAAATTCGTCCATATCAACACTTTTCGGCAAATCTACACACTCTAAGCCTCATTTTGGTGTGCCATATGCCTATATTTTTATTTGGTAAATAACCTTAACCGTTTACATAAAATTTGATTGTATCACTTAAATAATATAATAGATTTGTTTGAAAGAAATATAAACACAATAGTATCATCATATAAAGATACTGTAATTTTAATTGTAATTGTAAAAAACCTCTATGATTTTAGCAACAAATATTATAAATAAACGGTATCAGCAATTGACACATACATTATCCCATTAGCTTTTCAACAACTTTTAACATGGGTAGGCCGTGAAAGTAACTATGATATTTTATAGAAAAAATCACAAAAGTTACTTTTGAACCGCAACTGTTTCAGCTATGGTGGTTGCGCTATTTTGTTTAGAATTATAAGGACCATAACACATTAGTTTTAATCAAAACCTTCTTAAAATCCAATTTGTTGTTAATTTATGGGGTTTTTATGGGAAAATAACATGGGTTACAACTTTGGAACCTTAACTTTTACGGAAATGTTATTTGTACCATTTTGATCAGAATTTAAAGGACTACAACATGCAAATTGTCCATCAAAATCGCTCAGACCGTTTTTGAGAACATCCAATTTTTCTGTTATTTAATGGGTTTCATAGAGAAATCACCATGAAAAATCAAAATTTCAAAAAAGAATACGCCTAGAGATACTATAGATTAGTGCCTACATACCAAATTTCATCAAAATCGGACAACAGGTGTGGTCTGTAGCTATGTACACACCACACATACACACACAGACAGACAACACACACACACACTTCAAAAACCACGTTTTTTTGCACAGGGGGACTCAAAACGGGTAGGCCTAAATCCACTCAAAACTGAAACTCAAAAATGTTGACGAAAACAATACTTTCTAAAACTAGCCTAATTTCTTTCTTAATACTTTTTGAAAGTAATAAGTGAATGCAGTAGTACTATGTAGGCTACTGATAAAAGTGAGAAAGAAGAGAAGTATTTTTAAATGTAATAAAATGATTATTGCAATATGAAAGATGGACTATTCACACATAGGAAATTAGTAACAAAGATGAATAAGATTCATCTGGCTAAAGCTTGTAGGGTGATTTCTTTTTGATGCAACTAAAACACATCTCGCTCATAGATTACACCTTCTAAATCATACAAAAATTTAATCAAAGCAAACTGTAGTCTTTTTGGTATTATAGGGACTATTTATTATGCTTATATACACTCTCTGCTTAGATATGGAATTGTTCTGTGAGGAAACTCAAAGGATATTAGCAAAGTTAAGCCCAAAAAAGTATTATTAGAGTGATGATAGGGGCAGAATATAGATCAAGCTGTCAATGTTCTTTTAAGGAATTAAAGATAATGCCATTGACTTCTTTGTACATCTATGAAACAGTAAATTTTGTAAATTTTGCTTCAAGATCTTCATTTACATTTTTTTGCTAACTTTTTTGAATTGGTAACTTTCTCTCAATCGTACTGTTCTTGATGTATTATGTTGTAACTTTTTAGTTTTAGTTTTTATAACTTATTGATTGCCCATGCATCTGTTCACCTTTTCTTTTCTAATGAAGAGTGTTTATCCAATAAAATACTTATGCACTTTATTGTATGCCATTAAGTACTTATTTATGACTTAAGGAGATAAATAATCAAAGGTAATCAATACAGCATAGTTATCCAAATACATGTATTAAATTAAAATCAACTATTATAAAAATATAAATAAAGCATATTCTTTTAACATCAATTAGTAACACATAGTTTAAAAATCATTTGACATGCATTAGTATACGTACTCTGTCTTAAAACATTTTTCATCACAAAATTCAGAAAGCAATTCATTTATGGTAAAACTGGACTGAAAAACATTCATTCAATATTCTCACATTTCGTTTTATATTTTATACTACCTGATTCTCTCATAGTCAAACTAAAACTACACTGTAAGGTTGTTCGTAATATTACTTTAATTGTTTATTTATATTATTTATCACCCTACTAGTAGTGATAGAATTGTTCAAAAGTTATAATGTTGATTAAAGGATTGACTTTGATGATTGTGTCTACTGTTACAAGACTGTAATACAGTCTAGGGGCCCTTTACGCAAGCTTTTTACTCTAATAGGGCTTAAAACTTGTTTTTGAGGCAAACAAATAACACAATATCCTTTACTTTTCAATGATTATGTTTGTTTAACACAGATATTAAGTTAAAAATATATTAAATGTGTTTATTGTAAATTTACACCATAAAGAACGATTACAGATTTACACTTACAATTTGACACATAAACTAATATTATGGCAATTATCAATGAAAGTGGCCAATTTAAGATAAAGCTGAGAAAATTACAGTTTACATTTCAATTTTTATAAAGAAAGTGGGTCATCATCGTCAATGGATCTTTGAAAGCGGGCTCAAGAAATAAATCAAACGCTATGAGGCAAAGCCCTAAAGGAAATTACCTTTTAGTTACCATTCCTCCCTACATTTGTCATAAGCTTTAAAATTACTATTGTAAAAAGCGGTTAAGTAGGTAAAAAAGGGGGTTACAGAGAAAACCCTTTTTGTAGTAAGTATATAGATAGATAAAAGGATCAATATTTTTTTAGATATTGATATTTACAAAAAATCATTGGGTGGTCTTTTCTTGATTTCCCTAATCTAGAAATGTAAATTGGTAAAAATAAATACATGTCCACTGTGCATTATCAAACCAAACATCCGTCTGCCTGGACACTTCTGAAATATGACTAAGAAGGTTTCTTATTTTGGATTTAATACTCCTTAGGACTTAAAGTTATTCACCAAAGTCAAAGTCTTCAAATGATTGGCACAAACCAGATGGAGTATTGTAAAATTTGTTGGTGAGTTTATTATTCCTGCAATGATGCCTTTTATCATGGAGAATATGTAAAATGTTAAAACTATTCATAATACCTGTATATTTTTTATAATTTACGACTCATACCCTGTTCCAAGGTAAGGGTAAAGCTAATAGTTTTAACAAAACACTATTTGAAACCCTTACTAAAAGGAAATTGCCATATTCATGGACCACAGAGAGCTCTGTTGCTCTATGAAACATAAAAACTAAAAACTAACAGGTTTTTTAATTACCAAATAAATTGTAGCAAATTTGTAAAGAAGCTCGAAATAAGAATGTCAATAGGAGCAAACATTTTTAATGTAGTGGCAGGACGTTCTCTGACAAACCATACAACAATTTTTAGGATCAACCTTATGAAAAATGTTTTGATATCAGTTATTTTCATGAAGATAAATCCTAAAGATGATCCAACAAGAGATCATGAGAGAAGCAGATCCAAAATGCTACAAAAGGGACTAGATGAAATTTTTTTATCTCTACACTTACAACTACAAAAATACTGATAAGAAATAATATTAATAATGCACCGTGCTATATCACTTATTTCAACTGAAAATAATCTAAAAACAAATTATTTATCTTAATAACTAAGTTAAAAACACATGCAACATTTAAAAATTAAAATACATTACAAAATACAGTCTTTTAACTCTAAGGAATATGATTGATTTGATTAGTTTTATAATAAAGCTACCTTCCTATAATTCTTATATTCAGAGATTTTCTAAACCTTTGTAAATTATTAAAAATATAAATTAATATTTAGCCCTTTATGTCATGTCTTCCTAGTGCTACATGACAAAGAATATTTGTTTGAATTGCATTTGTTTAAAACTCACAGTTCAGAAATCCCTAAGTTTCAACCAGTATCACTTTCTTTTTTCTCAACTTTGATTTCAATTTTTGTTAATTCATTGTCTGTTTTGATGTCTGCAAGTTTATCTTCACACTTGAATTCAGGTTCTCTTTTGATTTTCTTAGAGGAAATTTTCTCTTTTTCTGGCCTTTTCTTCTTTCCTCGACAGCAAGTTTTCTCATACATTCTCCGCATGGCAGCTACCTAAAAAACACTTGACTTGTTTATAAAACCATATCACTGAACTTACATTTGACACAACTACCTTTCAACTTTGGTTGTTCCGTACAAAAATAATTTATTTTTCAATAGAGAGTGCTACAATAATTTATTTTTTTTACAAAACCCATTCGCAACATCTTTTAAAGTAATTTATTTTTAATATAGCCTCATAAAATCAGTGGACTTTTTCCCAAAACAAGGTGTGATTATGAACTATTCATGGAAACTTTATTAGTTTCTCTTTTAATGACTTGGAGTTTTTAACATAGCCTAAAAACATGCAGCCCTAAAAACATTAGAAGTCTTGGGCATCCTCCAAGCACACAACTTCTTCTGAGAAAGAGAGTGGAACATTTACTATCTGAAGGACACAGGAAATATAGGTATAATCTAAAATAGCCTTTTTTGGTGTTAATATACAGTGCTATGCAAAAATATGGACCCAAATTCATCACCTTGTATCTCAAAAGACATAAACTTTACACCATTCAAAAGAGAAAATTTCAAAGTTTTTTGCCCATGGTTCTGTTAACGGCCAAAAAAGTTATCGCAACAATGGGCAGCCATTTTGTTTTACCATCAGTTGTTAGTAAGATGGCTATACAGCACAAGATTTTCTGTATCATGTAGTTTGCAAAAACAGAGTCTTCTATTACGGTGCAGCGGGATTTTCCCCTTGAATTCATTATTTAACCACCAACTATACAAAGCATAACTCGATATTTAGGTAATTTTAAGAAATTGCAGCTGTGCAATCACTGATACAAGAGATGCTATCTCGTTTGTGGGGAAAATTCGGCTATCACTTAGATTTTTGCCATGCAGCACAGGGGGGACACGTTGAGCATTTGTAATCAGTGTAAATAAAACTTTTCTCTTTCTCTTTCTATCACGCACAGGTCATTGTGACCCATGTGATATTTTTATTTCTTAATGTATTTGCTGCAAAATAATGTGTATAAATAAAGAATTTCTCTCTCTCTCTCTCTCTTTCTCTTTCTAACAGTGTAAAACTTATTTTTTCCGATTTATATTTTTTGAGACACAAACTCTGGAAACTGGGTTCATATTTTTGAATAGCCAGCTTCAAAAGCCAGCTGAATAGCCATCATATGCCAAACTTGATCCCTTAAACTCCTCAATCAACTTAATGGTTTCCCATCAAGTACAGCTTTTAACACTGAACCAGATATTTTGAAACTTCTATCACACATTGTTTGAGTTTCAACTTGTCAGAACATGCCCCTCTCACCTCACTGTCCAGGATAGTCCACTCCATGGGACGACCCCGACGTGTCAGCGTAGGATCGTTGAGACGAGAGTACTCTGGGATGTCCAATCCCAGCTGTTCCATCAGCTTCACCAAGATGTCATCCACATACGCATGGATCAACATGTCAGCTTTCCGATCCTACAACAGGACAGTAGATGTATGTTTGTTGTTAGAACACTCTGTGGGTAGATATGCATACAACCATGTTCTCTTTTAATAAAAACTGGCAACAGCTGGTCTTTGATGAAGGAATACTGGTACAAAATCAAAATTCAATGCTAAAATACTGAGAACAGCTGCCTATAGTCTGCACAATGCAATTGTCAGTATTTTCTCAACAAGCTATCCTTACTTAATTGATATTTTCTTACTTAATTGCTGAACTAATTTTTGTACCAAAGTTATAAAGAAAATAAAATTTTATTTGACGGATATGTCGTTCATAGGCCCACAAAAAACCTAGGTTGGACGGTTATATAATCATCTGCCATCCATTCCATAGTGATAATCATGAAATATTAACACTGTCAATAATCTTGAATATTCCTGTGGGCGGCAGACAGATATATCCGTAGACCGCATTCCTTCGCTTGTTTTGTTTTTTATCCATTAAAATGGATCTATCATTCTGAAGTAAATCTGTACCACTCAGTTTCGCTCCCATGTCCTCATCCCCATCCGCCACCAACACTTCCACTACGTAAAGACTGTTCTTTAGGTTCATCATATCCATCACTTAACATACTATGATTTTCAATGCCAAGTATAATAAAATCCCTCACGGAAATACTTTTTTCTAGCATTTCAATTAAAACTTTAGAACTGTTTGGTGGATCAGTCATTTTCAATAACATAGAAAATAATCAAAAAACACAAATGTAAACATCACTCATAAACAAGCTTGTGCAAACTCTCAATATTCACACATTCTATGACGCAATTGTAGCTGAAACAGCTGTGGCAATTATTATTGCCAACCACAAAAAAACCTATTTATAATGCAGTATAATGTTTATATTCTTACTATAAACAATGTGTATCAAGAAAAATCTCCGGACGGTTATATCCGTTTTATGAATGTAAATGGAGTTGTGAGGTCCTATCATTTCACTTAGCTGACTTGTTATTTTGCTTTGACAGCCAAGGATGCCAAAGATTGAGCTATTTTAAATTCCAAATATTGAGGAATATTTTATAGAGCTTGCTCAAGGTTTGGTTTGCTTTACTTGTGAATAACAAATTCAACACAGAAGGCAGAGTCGAGAAGGCTACAGGAATGATTGAAGCTAGATCTAAAAATAACACTACAGGTTAATTAAGTAAATGAAAATAATACAATACAAAATATCAGATCTGGGTCAATAAGCTGATTTAAATCACAACATTACTTAGTAAAACAACATGTGCAAGCATAGTGGGCTATGGAAAACTAACTGGGAGCTAGTTTAGAGCTAGTGGCTTGGAAAACAAAAAAATCTTTTGACATTAGCAGCCGTAAAACAAGACTAGTTGCTTCACAGTGTTTATAAGTAACTCACGTGCTTGGTGGGTTGCAGGTTGCAGATGGCGAGTCGTCCGCTGTTGTACTTCTTGGTGTGCAAGGGCAGATTGCCGCTAGGTAGGATCTGTAGTGTTGTGCCCAAACTTATACACAGATCTGCTACACTGTAACACAAGCGAAGCTGTCTAGACTGTTTGTAGGTTTGAACAAACTATTGAAGATTGCAGTTCAATGGTTGAGGTGGCAGATTTTATTTTCATTGTTACTTCAACAAGGCAGCTACACAATGTTGGAGATTCCAAGCTGAGAAAATAGGTTAAAATATCCCCAATGCAGCAATTTGTCTGATAGGATTTTTATTTTTACTAAAATATTTTCATAGACAAGACATACGAGGTATGTTCGGAAAGTAAGTTCTGTTTTGCAATAAAGGACTAACGAGTACAGATTTTTAAAAAATCTACAACTCTTACACTTTTTTCAACATAACTCTTACACTTTTTTTCGACATAACTCCCGAGATTTTCGAAGCATTTGTCATAGTGTGGTACAAGTTTGAGTACAGCCTCCTCGTAGAATGTTGCCGCCAATGTAGTTGGTAAAACGTTCTTTCAGCTCTCCATTGCAGATTAACCGCTGTCCACCAAGAAAAGTCTTCAGATTGCAAAACAAATGAAAATTGCTTGGAGCGAGGTCAGGGCTGTATGGAGGATGGTCAAAAACATCCCAGCCAAAGCCCTGAAGAAGTGTCTTCGTCACATTTCCGGTGTGTGATCGAGCATTGTGATGAATGAAAACCACTCCTTTCGTGAGCATTCCTCGGCACTTATTCTGTATTGCACGGCGCAGTTTCCTGAGTGTCTTGCAATAAACATGTTTATGAATTGCTTGGCCTCGCGGCAAAAAATCAATAAGCAAAATGCCTTTTCTGTCCCAGAAAGCTGTACACAAGATTTTTCGAGGTGTCACGATTTGCTTTGGTTTGATTTTTGCCATAGTGTGCCTCCATTCCATTGATTGACGCTTGGTTCAGGGGTATCATAGGCAACCCAAGTTACGTCTCCCGTGACTATCTGCGATAATAATGTATCACCAATCCCAACGAGTCAAGAAATCTAGTGCACTTCCCATTCGGCGGTTTTATCTTGTTCAGGCAGGGTTTAACTTGTGGAAACTCACGTGCAAGAGCACTCATTGTAAACTTACGGTTTTCTTTCATCTTACCATTGACTGCACTAATCAGTTCATTATTTACCACAGATGGCCGTCCACTTCGTTTCTCATCATGCACTGTATCTTGCCCTTCTTTGAACTGTCGAACCCATCTTCTCACCATTGAATCACTCATTACATTGTCCCCATAAACCTCACAGATTTGTCGGTGAATGTCAATTGCTTCAACGTTTTTGCATTAACAAAACAAATCAACGATCGAATTTCACAATAGGCAGGATTCTCAATTAACGCAGCTATTAGAAACAAGCACTACAAAGTGTACTACAACAATAGCGAGTTCAAAATTGTGTCATTTCCTTCCGGTTGACACAGAGTAACTACTGCGCATGTGCTAAATTGCGATCGTAGCGCTATCCCGTAGATTAGGGGAACAAACTTACTTTCCGAACGTACCTCGTATTTATTTCCCATATAAATAACATTTGTTTTAAGTCCAAGTTTTCTTGGAATTTTCTCTGTAAGGTTTTACTTTTATTTTAGGACACCGCTTTAACATACAATATTATTTGTTTTTTTCAATTTTTCTACGATGGCTGTAATGAAAATCGGACATTTTCATATTTAAAGGTTAAAATTGTTTAGAGAGTAGGCCTACTAATTTTTGAAAATTTTATTAACCTCATAATAACCCATTCCCATGACCCGATCCTGTTGGTACGCGGACTTTTCAAGTTTATTCCGCCCTACACCTTAAAGCCAAATTTTATCAAAATCGGACCAAAATTACTCAAGTCATTGTGTTTACGGACACATGTATAAATATAACAATCTAAACGAATAGTGTTTTTGGCCTCCTGGGAGATGAAAACAAAAAAGTAAATTGGTCCCGCCCAGATCCCAGGCCCAGGTACCATGAGATTTACGGTAATAGCTTATTCCCTTGATTGAAAATTGTAAAAAAAAAACAATGAAATCACAACAAAAGAGAACATATATGCGAAGTACGAGATGCCTTCTTTAGCATGACTTTGTGACTTAACTAAAGATGCATAGTGAAGAGGAAGAGGATCGATTCAACGATTTTCGGTGTAAGCCTGAAAAAATTCAGCTACCCAGCTAATAATGTTAATACTATATAATTATAATGTCAGAAAGAGATTGAGGATACCGAAAACATTTGCAATTATTTTTTTTATCTAGACACAAATAATATCTAGGTTTCTATGATATCATTCACAGAAGAACAAACGGTAATCATAATCCTACTCTCCTAACAACGATTAATCAAAATTACTAACACTGATAATTTACCTGTATTGATGACTTTTTGAATCTCAATATTTTGTAGTTTATTTATTTATTATTATTATTTTTATTTTTTTGTAAAATCATCACTACGAGACACTGACACCAGATAAGTCTGAACATGTACTACAATCCTCTGATGCAGTTTCTATTATGAATGGTTTAGCGTGAGTCAACTCCAACACTTGATTAAACAAGAGTTGTCAATGAAAGCTAAGTAAATGTAAGAACAGCAACACACTACAGTGGAGACTCATAAGTTCTGACTTAATACTGAGTAAGTACTCTCAGAGCTGACTTACCTTAGAGGAATATTGTCTATCTTTTAACACCCAAAATTGATTAAAATTACCTCAATTTTGCCTTTTATAAAGCAAGTTTTCCAAACTTGATGTTTTAACTCCATAAACTTGAATATTAATACAAAATTAAATTGACCAGTAAGTAATTTTATTGTAAACCCCTTAATCTGAGCTTTTAATCCTTCACATTATTTGTAATATAAGCTTCAACACAATTTAATAATGAATTTAAATATTGATCTACAGTTGTGAGTTGAAACTATTACAGTAAGAAATAACATATCCATTAATTCCTTTTGGGCAGACCCCATTAGAATGTCACCAAATGAATGTCAGACAATTTTCTTTGTCCGTATTTAATAACAATTGTTGCCATATTTGTCAATGTTATCTTGTATGTTACCTTCGAGGATAAAAAAAATGGTCTTTAAAAGTGAATGAAGTATTTTTTTTTAAGTAGTAAGAGTAGTAATACACATTTTGTACCCTCTAAAAAATGCAAGGTTATTAAAGTATTTTTGTAAAAATAAAAATACAGGAAATTCCATCTACATAAACTACACCTATACCGTACACCAGAAATAAGTTCAAGGACATCAATCTGTTATCTAACACTATTTGTTGTCATAAATTGATAATCTGATAATCTCGTGTTTAACTTTATGGACAGACAATTATTGGGTATTACAGAAAACGATAATTAATGTTAATCAGTTTGAAAATTCTTAAGCGACCATAACGTGACAAGTGACAAGCACTGGCATTGGTAAAGCACTATGTGTCACACTCAGCATTTTGCATGGTATTGAGTTGACTTGACAAGTTCAGTACTCCCATATATTCAACATGAATGCGTAAGTTAAGAAAAGTGCCAAGTTGATTTATAACTGTTTTTCAGCTATCGATTTTTGGAAAATACTTGAAAACCAGATAATGCAAGTATTTTTTCACTTTCTTCAACTTTTCACCTTGTGTTTGTGCAACAGTGCTGACTTAAACAGCTGGGCGGATAATTTAGTACGAGATGTGAAAAGCACTCTTCAGAATACGGACAGTGAGTTCATCCCAGTGCCTGATCTAAAACAAGAAACTGTAAAACTTGTGGGGAAAATTCCGGTGAAACTGAAACTCCTCGCAGTGGACGGTGTTTTGGGGGAGTTAAGCTCTCTCAGGAGGATTAGTGATGTTCAAATCAAAACAACAATCAACAATCAAAATATGTCGATAATCTTGCCATTGCGTCTAGACAAAGTAGGGCTTCATTTTGAAAACTGTTTCTTATCCTCGGGGTCTTCTAAGGCAATGGATGAGTTAGAAGTCAAAGTACCTGTTTACAAACCATTTTTATTAAACACCACGATATTGCTTACCGATTTTCTTCGTAGACCTAGCAACATTGGTTCAGTGGACATTAGCATAGAAAAATTCACAAACGTCGAGGTGATATTGGCTGAATTCTGTCTAAGTGATATTAATTTGAAGATTTACGAGTGGATAAAAGACTATTTGAATAATCTGGTGCTAACTGAAATTAAATTGAAGATGGAACAGGTATTTACAAAAATATTAACAAAATATGTTGCATAAGCTACAGAAATCTCCTAAAACATTTGTTTCCTATGCATGTATTACAAATTTATATATTTCTCTATGTATACTATTGTAAATTATAAAATGGTACTATTTTAGGTTAAATGGCTGGTTTTACTGAATTTCTCAGACCACCTTATCCTAAAAATGTGTTATTGGTTGAGATACTCATATTAGTCTTTACAGTTTAATTTACTGCTTTTACTCTGTTAATTTTTTTTTAATTCTCAGAAATATAAAAAAACAGTGATTTTAAACAAACTGTTTATCATTTTGAAACTTATAAAAATAATAAAAAATTAAAAAAAAATTTTCAATGTTAACCAACATGTCTCAGAACCATTTTTCATTAGGAATCCAAGGATTTACCAAGGATTTATCTTTTAAATTATTTCTATTTCTTGTATGATAATGATTTTTGATTTTCTACACAAAGTTACATATTCTAGTCTCAACAATTTCGGTGAAATCTGTATTCTCCACCAAAAAAATTCACATTTTATAAAAAAATACACAAACTGCTGGTTGAGTAGGCGCTTTTTCTCTATGTAAATGCATTTATTAATGACAATATTCAATTCATTGAGACAATGACGCAAACTTGGGTGCATATTTTTAGCTGAATATGGATGCAGGGTCAGTGTAGCAAGGAGTGAGATATTAAAGGAATGTCCATGTCATTAACAGTCAAGCTATATTTTACTGGTATCTCTTGTTCCAAATAATTAAGGGTTCTGCCTGTTTTGTGAATACAATTTTATTTTACCTTTTGGAATTTACGTCACACATGA